TAAATATAAATTATATTAATAAAATATACTAATAAAATCTTCTAAATATGCTAATAAAATCTACTAATATAACAATATAAAAAACACTCTATATATAAATTTTGTGACAAATTGTGTAACTGATATAATTATTGTCACAAAAATAATCTAAAACATGTTTGAAGTTATTTGTGGTTGGAGTGGTATTACTCTAAAATATGAAAATTATAGATGCAGGTATCAAATTCAAAACTTAATATTTTATGAAATATAATGGCTATTGAAAGCCATTAGTGGGTCTTGAAGCATGATTTTTTTTAAGTTATAATTATATCTAATTTAATTTAATTATTTATATTATTGTAAAGGTTATACCATATTAAATTGATTGATTATAGTTATTTTGTAATAATTGGTGTATACCAAAGTGATAAAAAATTTTTTGACTTGAATGAAAAAAATTAACTACTAGAATAGTTAACTCTCAATCTACTCATTTTACTGATTCTTTATATTAGTTCTGTTCATGTTATAGCTTTTTTTAAATCACTTTTATATATATAAACATCAAATATAAATTTATATTTCTGTTAAACCAAGATTTTTTCAAAAGGTATTGTAAAAGATAATCATCTGTTTTATTTAATTTAAACTTAATATTATTTTATTAATTTTATTTATTTAAGGTAATACAACAAGAATATTATCCTTTATTAGAAGTCAAAGAAAAGAATGCATTTGCTAACTTATCCAAAGATATTTGTATCTCTATTGACAATTTGAATTCCTATACTTATAAATTAATTACCACTAATGCTAGTCCACAAGATGATAATCAAGTTCATAAACAAGAATCTGTTATAATTAATTCAAATAAATTTCTACTGAATTCTGTCAATAATAATTAAGATTTAATTTTGTTTGAAGCTTGAAAAAAAGATATTTTTAATTTGTTGAATAAAACCAAAAATATCTTTGAAAAAAATGTAGCAAATCCAAACAAATAGTTAAATAATATAGAAAAAAACTTTGAATTATTATGAAAATTTGTGAAAAATTGTAAACAATTTGAGAAACAAAATCATATTCCAAAAATACTTAAAAAAATTGTAATAATAATACTTTCTGATTGTAATATTAAACTGTTTTATTTTAATTAAATAAATAATTCATATTATTGCTAATAATCTTAAATTTTATATAGATGTTTTTATTATAATGTAAAAATATTAATACATTATAAATACACACAAATTTACTATAAAAATTAGAAGTTTTGAATATAAATATGACATTAGAATCTTTAAAATTTTAATATAAGAGGTTTACCAACCTGGTTATCAGAGTCACATTGGAAGAAAAGACCTTATACTACAGAATTAAGAACCAAAAGAAAAAAACTAGTAGCACTTAAAACTTAGATACACCAATCTAATTGGGCTAACTGGATTAGAAGTTTAAGAAAGATTAGAATAAAGATCAGAAAAAAGGTTGATGCAGATATCAGAATTGAAACAAACCTTGTAAGGACAGAAAAATCAGAAATTGTATAGTTTAATGATTAGCTTTGACTGCTAGTGTTGGTTTCAGCTATAGCAAACAGGTTCTCTGAATCTAATTCAGAAATATATAAGATTTAGATGGATTAGGAAGGCAGCTACTATATCCACCTGTAAGGACCCATGAGTAACCAATTGGGTAACCAAGTTCAGAGGAGTTAGTAGAAAGTACTTTGGTATAACAACATCTGGCTTAAAATTAATTGGTGAATATATATGATTAGAGAGTTTAAATTAATAACTTCCTAGTCGGATTATAAGCATAGCATCTAGCATTGTTGTATACAGACATTGTCTTGTTAAAATTACAGAGACATAAACAGTCCCGAACAGTGTCCCATATCCTGGACAATGTTTCATATCCATGATGATATCCATGTCATATAGTTTATCAAAAAGCTAATTGGCTAACAAGGCTATTCTTATTATAATTTTAATTGTCTAAGACAAAAAATAATCACAAACATGTCCACAGACATCCTGTCTTGGACTGTCCGCTGTCCACATCTGTGTCCCATGACAACACTGGCATCTAGTGTAGAACCTGAACCTATGGTTATCTATATATAAACTACTTAAATAGGCAACCAAAAGTTGCATGTATGGCTAGTTGTACTCTTGTTGTAATACTAAAATGTAGACCCATGTGGCTAACAACAAAACATCAATAAAGCTTGATCTCAAAAAACACCTTAAAAAAAAAAAAAAATTTTAATATATTATGTGTTGGTTGGCTCCTGAGCAAATCTAAAAAAAATGTTAAGATATTTATAGTTTAGTTTTTTGGTCTTAATTCACTCGGCTTCCAGTATAATTGCGTTATTAGTGTCAATTAATAACTTGTATAATGATAACATCTCATAAATAAAAAGCGAATAATACCGTATTTACGCGAAATAACGCACAGGGGCGTTATTTAGAATAATGGCCCGAATTAAGCTTAATTTAGGCCAAAATTTGTAATTTCACCCCTGCGCGTTATTTCGCGTAAATACAGTAATAAGTTATAATTAGATACATAAATGCAAAAATATTAAATATTAATATCCGATAATAATTTGTATATAATGTAATCTATTATTATTTTGAAGATTTTGAGATGTTTTCTTTGTATAAAAAATTGTTCTTAATCGTTTAAGTCATACACTTCCAATTAAAATGTTGATCATCTATCACGTGACTTTTGAAATTTTTTTGGGTGGCGATTTTACCCCGTTGTTCCGCTGAAATTAAACAACGCAGGATAATTTTCATTAATCATGTGATTAAAGTTGCCCAATGATATTAATCAAATATTGTGTTGTATATGTGTTTGTTAAAATCCCCCCTCGAGTCTAAGCTCCAGTTATCAACGTTAAACAATTAATCAACTTTAAACGGCCTAATGATTAATTGCATATACTCTCTAAATGCATAATAAATTTTATTAACACAAAAGTGTTTTTTTATGACTTAAATGCATATACTGTCTATATGCATAAAAAAAGTCTTTAACGGATGGCATGCAATTATGCTAGCATTGGCATAGTTACATAGGTGATCTGCAATTGGCTAAATTATATAATATAGGAAATAAAAGTTTGTGACCAATTATCTAATTTGTTTTTAGCTCGGACATTTAACCGTATCCTAGTAGTGCTGATAAAATTTCAATGTTTGTTCAATAGCATACAAAACTAATTCTTATAAAGTTATTACTCGCCTTCATATATAAACCAAAATAAATGGTAGATGCAATCAATAACTGATAAACTGTGACCAGGTACGAAGTAAATCGCTATTATTAATTTCTCTCTGTACGAACTAGAATCTAATATCAAGATAACGTAGATCATCTGGCGAAGAATTAGCCATTCTAGAGATTAAATTGCAAAAGGTTTCTAGATTTACCTTTTGTTTTTATTTGATTTATTTTTTTTAAAAAAGAATGTTATTAATTATCTATTTTTCTATTTCAATAAAATGGTGAATAAAAACGATGCTAATACAGTCGATCTGTTTAAATGTATCTTGCATATTGTCTAATACATCAAAAAAATTTAACAGTAACATGCATTTACTGTATAAATGCATAAAATTAGTTCTTTTTTGCCTTTCCCAATGGTATGCATTTAGACAGTACCGACTGTATTTATGTATAATAAAATTTTCATATAATATTTAATATTACACATTATGTAATATTTAATATTATACATTTATATGAATGATTGTCTAATTGCCATTGATCCTACATCAATTTTACATTCATGATTATTTTCATGCCAGTATGACATCGATTGAATGATGCCATAATAAGATGATAACGAAGCGAAAACCACCAAAAAATGAAAAATTTGATGTGAATGTCCCCTGTATATTATGAAGTAAAATATTATTTATATATCTCAATAATCGTAAATAACATTTAGAAATAAACATTAAAGTAAACTTAACCATATATCAAATGATCCAGGAAAAAATCTTTCAGGTACCCTGTTATAAAAAATATATTATATAAATAAGTGTATGGAACTATAACGAAATTGTTTTCAACTAATAATGCATACCTGTAACCATAAAGAACTGCGCCAATCACATACATGGCACCAGTTATCACCATCCATTTAAGAGACAGGACATCATTACACAATCGTAGCTATA